CAAAGATGAATCCCAGGTATTTTACTGACTTCAAGAAAAGCTGGTATTTTTCTGGGCGTAATCGGAATCCGTTATCGCTGACGCGTTGTAGTACAGCTGTCGTGTGTTCTCGAAGCTGTTCTAGCGATGTGGCAACAATTAAGATATCATCGAGATAAGTTGCGACCCCCGGGGTACCCGATAGAATGGTATCCATTAGTTGCTGAAAAATAGATGGAGCTGTTTTAACACCAAATGGTAGGCGATTGTACTGAAACAAGCCCCGATGAGTATTTATGGTAAGTAACTCTCTCGAATCTTCAGCCACTTCCACTTGTAGATAGGCATCAGCGAGATCCAGCTTTGCAAAGAAATTCCCACCATTTAGCATTGTAAACAAATCTTCAGGGACTGGCAGTGGGTAATGATGCTGTTCGAGAGCTGCGTTAAAACCTGTGGAAAAATCTGCGCATATTCGAATTGTGCCATTAGCCTTCTTAATAACCACAATGGGTGATGCCCAAGCAAAGTAAGAAACGGGTGTAATAACTCCTTGTTGTTGAAGACGATTCAATTCTTCATCTACTGTTGGTAATGTTGCGTAAGGCACGGGTCTTTTGGGGCAGAAAACAGGCTTGGCCCCGGGTTTCAGCCGAAGCGTTGCTTTCGCGGCAGAACATCGACACAATCCAGGTTGGAAAATAGATGGAAACTGCGTCACTAGCTTTCTCGTATATGCTTCAGGGTCATGTGGTTGTGATACTAGGTGGCATATGGTATTTAACGAGACATCAACTAATTTTAGCTGGTTGAACCAATCTAAACCAAGCAAAGTTAGATCAGCTGTTGTTGTATAACATACCCCGGTAAACGTCGAATTGTGAAAAGAAACTTTACAATCTAGTTGTCCCAACAAATGTAGGTGATTACCACATGCAGTAAGAGGTTTTTGTGTTGTTGGCACGGTGCGTGGTTTGCCCATTCTGATCCAAGGTTTTTGTGAGAGAATTTTCACGTCAGATGCAGTGTCTATTTGCAATCTAAACGGATACCCATTAATATTAAGGGTAATAAATTTCCTCTCCTCTGGGACTGAGTTCTGACAGATTGCTACTAGACGCAACGAATTTGTGCAAAATTTAGGGACAGGCTTTCTGGTAATTCTGGAGCTGTTCGGCTTCTGTTTTTGACAAAACCCATCTTTATGACACACAGCTTTGCATCTTCTACACCTATGTTGTTTATATGGACAGTTTCGAACAAAATGCCATGCACTGCAGTGCCAGCATGAGGCAGGAGGATTTGTTTTTGTTTGTTGACCTGAACTAGATGTCGCTGGGGCAGATTTATGCGCGTTGGTTGGTTGTTGGACTACCTGAACTTCGGTATGATCAGAACAACCACGCTGGACCAACGTAAGGTCACGCTGTAGATTCATCAGACGTTGATATTCGTTTGCAATATCATTAAGAGTTAGTTTTGGGTCTTGGTTCAATCGACTTAGAAAGCGTGTTCTAATGTCACTGAACTTCTGCGATTGAAGGCTGCAGATGAGAATGAGTGCTTTAAATTGGTCTTCAGTAAGCGACTTCGACCGGAAGCGTTGGCATTCTCAGTTGATGATACCCACATGCGTGAGAAAATCAGCATCTTCGTTCATAGTGAGCTTCAAACATCGATAGAGCGCATTGAATAGTGAGGAGTTGTCTCCGAATTGTTGGCTCAATGACTGGACAGTGTCCGAGAATGAGCGATCGCGTGGGTTTAGAGGCAGAATTAGGTCGCAATACCTGTCAATTTCACTAGGACTCAGCGTTCGAAGCAGCAAGCGGACCTTTCAAGCATCATCCTGGTTGGCAAAGTAAAATTCGAATAAGACTTCGTAACATCGAAACCACATATGAAACGTGATATTGGATTGCGGATCGTAATGAAACTCGGAGATACTGTTAGCGATACCATCAACTGACGGTGCATTAGTAGTAGTAGTAGTAGTAGTAGTAGTAGTAGTAGTAGTAGTAGTGGTAGGATTAGAACTGCTTGGTTTAGTATTAGACATAAGCTTTGTATCTGCTAACATCTGAATAAGTTTCATCTGCTGCTCGTGTAATAATTCAAGTTTAGAAGGATCCATATTTCCGAAACCACCGTCGCCTAATTCGCTAGGTTTGAAGCTATCACGAGTTCACTTAATCGGCGAACGAGATCAAGACTCGGTGACCAAAGACCAGTAATCTAGCTATTGATGCGTCCCAGCCCCGGTAACTAGAGGGAAAAGTCCAACCTTGGAATTGGAATTATATTCTGCAAAACAGCCAGGAACGAGCGATAACAAAAAAACACAATTCAAAACGTATATATTAATTGCAAAACCGTCCTTGGGGAGAGTTACTAAATAGCATACTAAAAGACTCAACGGACCAATAGCATTTAAAATTCGTCCGTGTGGGAAATACGACATGATGGTGACAAGACCGCCTTTGGCGCGAAAACAAAGAAATTCAAATTTTCTAAATAAAATTACAAAATTAGGTTCTTTTCCAAGTGAGTTCTGGGGATCTATCGTCCCCAACATGTATATGATATGTTGTTTTGGTCTCCCGTCTAGTATAATGCTCTATGTTACAAGTAGAATATACTGATGACTTTACCTCTTTGAATTGCATTAACTCGACAATTAAACTTAAAGATTCTCTATAAAAACCGACATGATCTGATTAACAGTGGGACAAAATAGTTTAATTGAAGTAAACAGACATTATAACAACCAGCGTTAGTTACAGTGAGAAATTAATGAACCAAATGATTACAAATGCTTTTACTGTTTAATTCACAATGCAATGTGGATTACACAACTTGTGTCTGAAGTAAGTTAGTAATAAAAAATGAGTGACGGTATGATACACACAGAGGAAAAATAATATTAAAGTAGTGAACCGTTTTGTAAATCATAATATAGAAATAAAATAGATAAAGTTAATTAATACAACTAATTATTAACTGGGTAATGACCACTGTCAGGTTTGTCTAGTCTTTTTTGTACTTTACGAGTTCTGTCGATCAAATGGAAATATGGTCACAAACCTAAAAGACTCAACACCGTGAGCACTATGCTGAAGTGTTAGGTGGTTAAAGATATTCGGCAGGAAACCGTAAGCCTAGATTTATCATCAGTTAACATCCGTTGGCAATCGGTAGAATTCGGTCAGCACTAAAAAGAACTAAATAAACATGACAGTGGTAATCAAATTTAAATATCACAATACTACGCAAAGTCAGCTGCTGCTCGAATAACGTCTCAGGTTGTAAAGCTGAGTGACACGAGATCTTAGGTACGTTTTGTTGACAAGTGACAACTAGTAAAAATCCTAGGCTTAGGCGATTAGCTGCAAGATATTCAGCAAACCACTTTTCCTAAGATTTTCTTGAAAATTTAACAGAATATATCTTCCAAGTTTGTACCGAACACTATATTTATTTTTGTCTTTGATTCCTTTATATGAAATTAAATTGACAGAGGATTTTCATTACTTCTGAGGGACGTTTTCTAGTTAATACACTTCGATAGAAATTTAATTACTGTTTTAATAAATCAACGGTAATATCTTTAATTTTGGTGCTTGCTGATTGACATACACTGTGGAGGCCGGTACTACGTCAAGCCCTCATAGGTTATTCTAGCCTCTGGACAAATCAATCTGTTCATTCTTCTCAAGCCACATTTCTACCTTGTCACGTATTTACTTATTAACCTGTTTTTATATAATTGCATGTGTGTTAATTACTTACCTCATTCATCATGTCTGTAACGTCGTTTTGGTCTGACTATAAATATTGAGTCACTGTTGGTTAAATCGAATTGGCTCACTCGCCTTCTCCACCGCGCGTCATTTCATTTTGCTTCTCTCTCTCCTCTTCTCTTTACCGCGTCTCATTCTGATTCTGTATCTGGATAAACGAATACCTGAAATAAATTGCCCCAACGCCACCAGTACTTGGCTTCTTACTACCGCTGTCATACAAACGGGGTAGCCTATGTAATATATGGAGTTAAATTGAAGATTTATATTCATAGTATATTCATACGTTCATGCAAATTGGAGTCAGATCAGTCGGCACCAAAACATCAGATTTCATGTTTAATATCAATTTCAACAGAAACTACAAAGGAACGTCAAGTAAATTAACTGATAAACTTAACTAAAACCTTAATGGTAGATGGAAATCAACTACAAAGTTAAATTGTTAGATACTAAAATGAATTACATTTCTCACGTAATATTCATTTATCTGAGTACATAAATAGAAGTTCAATTAAAAACACATGATTATTGAAGAATTATTTGAACTTATGGGTCACCTACTTTCAAATTATGCAAACACTGTAATTGAATCTTTTTAGACTAACTAATTATTTATGTTAACTTTCTATACTCACATACTTCTATAAAAACCTTATAACCTACAGCAAAGTTAAATATATAAAAATCAAATGATACTACCTCCCCCCCCCCAATGATTTAGTTATCCTTTGCAATAATGACAATCGATTATAATAGAATTTTCGAATCAAAATATATTAATCAATATAGAAAGATTTTATAAGATCAAAACTACTTGAAAACATTTGAGTAGGGGATGAATCTGTGCAGAAAAAAAACATTTTCATTACATCCATTGAATATATTAACGTGGATTTGTTTAAATATTGTACATATTTTAAAACACGAATTTCAGCGGAGGGATCTCTTTCCAACGAATTTATTATCAAGCTGTACAATCGTATATATATGAAAATTTTTGTTTTTGTAAAAGTACTAATTCCGTGAGGAACAAAAATTTTCATCTATATACGATTGTACAGCTTGATAATAAATTCGTTGGAAAGAGATCCCTCCGCTGAAATTCGTCTTTTAATTTTAATGTTTAAATGGGTACATATTTTACTGAAAATCTCTCTATGTAATCAACTATATAGTGCTGAATTAAAACGATTATCATAATCATTGAAATTTACTTACTTTTTATTAGTTCTGCTACTTTCATCCATGATTCTTGGTCATGAATCCACTGATTAGTTGAATCATCATTGAATAAAATTGGTGGATGTTTTAATAAACTTAAATCGAAATTTACTAAATATGTTGGTTGTTTTAAAAAAATTATTAAAATTCTTTCAGTCCATGATTTTTTAGCTGTTAAAAATACAAGAAATCTTGGATAAATACAATTTAAACATGATGCATTTTGACCAGATACAATGAGTAATGCATATTCAGAATGTGTTAAAAATCTCTCTTCAAATGAATTGAATGAATTATGCAAAAATGCTTCACCACGTTGTCTTGGCCAAAATACATTTAAACCATATTTATTCTCTGTATATTCAGTTAAGTATTGTGCAAATAATATTGCTTCATTATCTTCACAATCAGTATTTGGTATGGACGTTGGTAATAGTGTCCATGATGTAAGGAGAGTAAATTTAAATTTCATGATTAAATTAATTGACTCTCCTTACTTTTTTGTTGAGGTGATAGTTAGCAACAACAAAAAGAACTCGTCTATTTATTTATTTTCTTTATTGTGAATAGATTTCTTGTAGAACAATTGAGAATCTAACAAAGTGTATGATTCTTTTCATTCTTTTCTAAACCTTATTCATTTATATCATTATTACACAATAATCAACTGAATAAAATAAACTTCTTTTAGTTCAACGAAAAAACTAATCCCCAATTATGAAATGTGACAGTTACTACATTGGTGAATATGTGAATATTTTAAGAATAGTAAATTTCAAATAATTTCTGGATAACACCTACACTCAATAAATCAGTCATTTTGATTGGTCAAATAGTTTCAAGGTCACATCTGCAAATCAATAATTTTTATCCAACAGATGTGATTGTACTTTTAAAATGATGTTTTTTCAAATAAAGACTTTTGATATTTCAAGTGACTTATCGTCAGATCTCTCAGCTGGCTGCAGTTCTGCTTTCGAATACATTTTATTTTGTGGACGAACTAATCGTATGGAGCCTCTTGGGTTTTCTCTCCAAATTATGCATTATGGTTGATGTCAGTTCGGGATGAAAGCTCTAACCCGAAACGCACAAGCTTAAATAAGAATAATGTAAGGACGCCTAAAAATATATTTGGCTACTTTTGAAAGAAAGATAATCACTACCATGTAAAAGAATTTATGAACGAGACTATAATTTATGGACAAACCAATGATATATAACAGGTCTGGGATTTTGGCGCGAAATCCATTCATCCATTTGGCTATATAGCATTTTGGCATTTTAGTTTATGTCAGTTCGTGATGAAAACCGAAAATCTAATTCCTAACCCTAACCATCAACTCTAAATCATTATTCTAATCCCTCATACTGGTTTCTAACCCTCATTGAGCTACGCTTGGTAGGTGGACATTCTCTAAGTCAATTCAGCGTCACTCAAAGGTCGTGCATAAATTATGGTCTCACCAATTCATGTTTTTTTTTCAATTAACAGGCAGAGCAACCTGTGAATGACCATACTAGATTTATTAAACACGTAAAACCCGCTATTATTTGGTAACATTCTGTTTTCCTTGTCCAGGCACCATCCACTTACGAAGTATGCTTACTGATTGGCTAAGGATTGGTCGAAAAATTCATCACGGTTTTTTCAACCTCATCAGTAAATTAAAATCGGATGAGAATAAACTCCACTACCATTCGTAATTTCGATCCTGCATGTGGTAGCCAACCAAACTGAAGCGGGAATTATCATTCACACAATCACAGCCTATGATGAAGGGCGTGTTTTGCTCTCCATCGTTTTCGCTGGCTTACATGAAAGATGTAGAGTTTTCTACGATGAAAATACCACTCCATCATTCTATGGATATGCCGAGTGTATGGCAGACAGTCATGATGGGAGAAAAACCACAACATAGCAAAAGACACACCTCCTATTAATTCTATGATAGAAATTATCCCAAAATATCTACAAGTGTGTGACTAAATAAACGAAAACATAATCTCAGTTCCTGATTAAACTCAGTTGACTCGGAAACGAGATGTTTATCCTCAACCCTAAACTTACCCGTTAATGAACAATTGTTCGAGTTTGCCAATCAGAACACTAGGAAGGACAGCCAGATATTACCTATTTTTCTATATTATATTCAAACATAAAATCTCGCATGACTGATAATAAAATATAAGAGTGCAAGCATCACAAACAATAAACCTTAATATATCCAATAACTATAACATTATTGTTACATATCTGTGTGACATTTTAGTGATTAATTCACTGCTATTTATAAGCTGTCAACAATATAACAACAACTAATGATTCAAATAAAAGCCTATATTTATAAAAATTCAAAAAAAAGCCATAAACTAAGTAGTTAAAAATATGTATCCTGATTCTCCTTGAGAATAACTTTTAGGGTTTTACATTTTCACTGATTCCCTTACTACTAACATTCATTTATCTAGACATTAACATAAACACTGACTGTTTTATGTAATTTCAAAATATTTAGTTACAAATAGTAACGTAGGCATTTATTTGGTCAGTGGGTTCGGTTACGTTTCACTAATGAGTAACAAACTTGAAATCTAGTCTATGAGATTTTCGTAGACTGTTTACTGACTTAACAAAAAGATAGATGCTTGACTAATCTGTGATTTCCCCTGTTTAATAAACCTTATTAATTTTCTTTTTGTATACTAACGGTATTAACTTACGTTTTAGAAGAGGATAATCCTTATCGAGACAAATAGCTTGCTTGTTCTGATTTTGGCCAAAGTAAGACTCTAATTTCGACAGTTTAGTATTGTGTCCGTAGAAAATTAGGTCCGTAACAAATTGAAAGTATTATCAGAATGTGTTTTGTGGAGATTTTTAGAAATTTTCACAGATTGAACTCATGAGTTAGACATTAACACCGTTGGATGCCGGCTCAGTGGTCTAATGGTTGAGTGCTCGCGCGCGAAGCCAGTAGGTCCTGGGTTCGAGCCCCAGGTAGTGCAGGGTCGTGGATGCGCACTGCTGAGGAGTCCCATACTAGGACGAAACGGTCGTCCAGTGCTTCCAGGTTTTCAATGGTGGTCTAGCCTCAACTGACTCATGAGTTCAATCTGTGAAAATTGAAAGTAGCTTAAGAAAGTACAATCCATAACAACAATTTATGCATCAAACGAAAACTTGCAGCTAAGGGAATACAACAATACAATAATCGAAGTATTTTCTAATAATACAATGAAAATATAAACAATGATTTAAGATAGAACAGTTCTGAAAGTTTGACTATTCTCAGTGTTTACCTCGTTATATCACTTCCAAACTCATAACTTCAAATAAACTGTTACAACCAGGAGAAACGTGAATGATCATTGGATGTTTTTTGACTTATATTTTCGTCCTTAACTATGCATTTGTTAACTGATAAGCAATTCAAACTTAACTAAATCGGTTTTACTCCTTTATTAATCAGTGTTTTACCAAGCCGACTAAGCCATCATAACGTTTGTACTATCATAGCTCTAATTTATTAGGCTAAGGTAATGATGTAAATTACAGAATATAACTAAAATTAGTTTTTAAATTACAACTGATGACAGTTGTCATTCAACTATAACAATGGAACATACACCTACAATTGATTATGATATGTGTAAACGAAATATCAGAATTACCCCACTACTTTAGAAAACTCCTTTAATCATTATGTAATATATACATATATGATACATACATGATACTTCGAAAACTTAAATGGTTATTTAACATTTTAGTCCATTGACTAATGGAACAGAAGTTTCTCTACTTGAGATTTGGATTCATGTTACTTTCGTGGTCTGAATAATTCTATTGGTAGTTCATTCCATTGTTAAACCAATCACCATGAGACATTCAGTCATTGTTAGATTGGTTAAAAATCTTGTTATTTTTTGTTAAATAACTTTTCGCAGTTACAGCTCAAATGATATTTACAATTGATTGATCACTGGGTGGTGATCAATCTCATGTATGTCAAGTCCTTCTTAGTGCAGATCGAATCCTATCAACAAAGTCGTAATGTGGCCACCAGTTTAGAGGAATCGGCATCGCGTGCACTATGTTAAGATAAAATGGTGATTGGAGCTCGTCAACAGGAAACCTTAGACCTAGGTTTCGTACTACTTGGTACTCGTCAGCAATATATACCTGTAGTCTTAAGGGAACTGATGCTCCCCAATGGACTCCATCCAGTGTTACCAAGGTCCAGGGTTTCCTGTTGACTACCTTCCGTCACATTCTTAGCTCAAATAATATGTTTCGACATTCCCACTGCTCTACCACTAGTCCTACCCACCAATAATTAAGATCTCCACCACATTTATACAGTACCCAACTAAGGTGGTTTGTTTACCTGTTTTGAGGTATATAGGCTAGAGTGAGTTCCATTTTCTTACATTGATGGGATCGAGAATGTTGTGTTGTTCGCCATTACTTCTATCCATCAGTTTATTTTACATTCCGTTATACCTCAACAAAATGTTTATAAATATATCAAAAGTCGTATAGCAAACTCTTCACCGCAGGCTACATCTGTTCGAATATCAAATCGTTTGTAGAATAATTAAACTACAGTTGATTGAAATCCATTATTCTGTCTATCCCTCAAGCAATCGAACATTAAAAATACAAATAGTAAGAGAAAACTAAATGAGACTGAGACTGTAGTACTTGGATCAAAATTAGTGATGAAGTCTCGAAATAAAACAAACACCGACCAAGTAATTCATGAGTTTTAGAAGCTCTTCAGGTGATTTCAATTTAATGATGAACATTAACTTCATAATGTTAGAAATTATAACAAAATTTTTCGGCTTAATTTAATTCATTACCATATTTTAATATTATCTTATATCCTTAATAGTGAATAGAAATTTCTCCTAAAAATCGATCGAGGTGTTCGTAATCGTTAGAGGTTGGCTGGATATTATTCTTCACGCAAATATTTTTACCGAAGTTATGCTGGAAGATAAATTTAGTTGATTTACTGTTCTTTTAATCGTACAGAAATGATTGATTTAACATCAGTTTAATTAACCTGACAAGGTCAACAAATTCTATGAATTATGTATGACGTAAACACACCTTGTAAGTATGGAAATATTTTGTATTTCTTCAGGAACCTACCTTGATTAAAAGGTAAACATGTTGTCCATTAGTTTTCATCACTAAAAAGAAGTCAATAAGCTGTACAAATACCCATGCTTACAAGCGTCCTATCAGAACACTAGAAGCTCAGATAAGTGGAAACATGTACTTTTTTACTTTAGACTCATAATTCACGTCGTTATAAAAATAGATTACACAAACAGTTTATCACATATAGTGTTTTTAAATGGTTACTTAATTAGAATACTTATGATACAAAGTGAATAATAGATTCATAATTGATTAACTATACGTCCTGAATGGTAAGAGATATATCATATTATCTTCATTTGTGCCTATCAAATTATATGTACGTGCTCAAATAAATACATTAGAGGAATAGAAATAATGCTTACTATTTGACTTAGTATGGGACTCCTCAGCACTGCACACCCACGATCCCGCACGCGGGATTCGAACCAAAGGCTTCTGGTCACACGAGTGGACAGTTGACCTCTATACCACTGAGCCTGCATCCAGCGATGCTAATGTCTAACTTCAACCAATCCACGAAATTACTAATAGTAGTAAAGATATAAAATGATACTGAAACTCAAAACTTCAGAGAACG